TTGTCCTTGCATGCCTATTACTCCAGTTGGAATTGCTCACTGTTGTCGAGTTACTTCCCTGTACTTCTGAACATTACAAAATGTTTCTCCAACAGCAATGCAAATTCCCACAGTGAGTAAAGCCACCAGCTATTTCCTGCACTGACTTTACACCTTTTACTCAAGAAATCTGAAAACATCACATTCTGCACTACTATCAGACAAGATTTTTGTCATATTCCCTCCCACCCTGAGACAGGAAATAAACAGAAATAAGAATACAATTAGATAACATAACTATCACATTTCAAAACTGTAATCAGCTGCAAATATCTGAAAAGGAATGCAATCACCTTTGTTACTTCACCCTCCAAGTGACACTCAGAAGACTGAAATGTGTTTTGTTTTTTTTAAATGTTATCTGAGATTCTCTAGAGGAGGGGAAATAGCTGCAGTGCAGCAGCTGCTGCAGTGCTTCTGCATCCTAAGGCTTGAAGGCAATACAACAGCTGAGTTTGCACTGCAACATCTCATTCTCAAAGACTGTTTTACAGAAAACATAGCCTGCAGAATTAACTCAAGGTTAAAAAATAAAAATCTTGGCTGCCATAATGCCACCACATGACAACTTACTTTCTCAAAGACTATCCTGACGTCTGTCAAAGTTCTCCCACACCTGACAATTTCAATGGTGAGGCATGCTATTGTGCACATGAACGTGTCTGACCATCTGTAAGCAGACAGAACTCTGCAGAATACCTGTCTTTGACTAGGAAACCAGAAATTTAAGTACTAAGATAGCTGAAAGACCATCATTGTTACTTTTAGTGGTGAAAACACAGCAGTAAAAAACAGTAGCCAGGCACTCTTCAGCTAGGAATTTGGAGCAGTGAGAAGACCTGCTCTCCTCCAATTGTAGCAGCATGCTCAGAGCACAGCAGCGACCTGCTCCTTGCTGGCACAAACACCTACACTGAATTCATGGTATACTGTTCTACTGCCTAAGACTTGAAGGCAACGCTTTTGTGATACAAGGGAAAAAAGAGATTACATAACACTGTCCTATTTCTTTTACATTATCTACCAGTAATCCTTTCAGCCATCTAAAGAAGTGCCATTGATTGTTTCAGAGTTGCTAGCATGTTCCACCTTGGCCAAGAGGTGAATGAAGACACCAAGCATCAAGAGTTTGCCTGGACACTGAAAGCTGATAAAGGATGTCCTTACCAGGAAACAGAGGGAAAGTTCTGCTGCATCTTACTGAAGATGAACTAAGTTATGTTAGTGAGTAAAATCACTATTTCGTACTTTCATACAATTGATCAAGAAGGATTCCTACCTGGGTCAGTACTAGTACAACTATGACTCCCAGGCTACAACTTCACAAACATCAGACTAACGAAGTAATTTTTTAAGAAAGATCAGAAGCAATACTTTTTGCAAACATTCTAAACATATAATAGAATTCTGTATCAGATTCAAAAGGCCCCCATAGTTACAGTAACTGTCTTGCTACACTGTGACATACTTTATTTTTAAAGATCTATATTATCATGGTAGGCAGAAGAAAATACTCATATATATTTCTTCCCTTCCCGTTCTAAGAACCAAACTTTGGGAAATATACACCAGCAGAGATGAGTAGAGTGTATGCCAGCAAAAACAAAAAGCTGTAAGAACAGTTCTATAATCTGATTCAAGAAATCATTAATGACATTAATGACAATAAAGCAGGTTTGTATTTTTTTCACGAACATAAATTTCAGATGGTCATTTTAGAGGAAGTGTTTTCTCACACGGCAAGCCTTCAACTCAGCTCCTAAATGGCAGTAATTCACTCCCCTGATGCTTTACAGGGGTAGAGTGAATGAAAATCACAGAAGTAGTTCCATGACCTCTGCTAGTTCAAGGACAACATACGCCAAATGGGAGCTGCGCTGTGCAGCTACACTCGAGCAAGAGCTGTTAGAATCACCACAGAATGAATCATAGAATGGCCTGGGTTGAAAAAGACCACAATGATCATCAAGTTTCAAACCCCCTGCTATGTGCAGGGTTGCCAACCACCAGACCAGGCTGCCCAGAGCCACATCCCGCCCAGTTAGCCTCAAACTGTACTTACCTACCTTACCGACTCTCTCACCTGCAGGCTTCCTGAACAATGCTAGGAGAAGCAACACTGCTATACAAAGCAGTACGCATCTCTCCCCAGGGCTGACTGCATCTACATTTTACATGGCATTCTAATGCAGTAGAACGACTGCACCAGTCTCTTCCTGGTACATAATATCTCATAAATGAACTTAAAAATTCATTTAAAAGCAAAAAGAACAGCTGCAACTCACTACAATGTACAGTTTACAGAAATTTTACTTTCAGGGAAACAAAAAACACACTACAATACAACCCACAAACCACAGTAGCCATATATTCTACTTATCTAAGAAAAATGAGTAATATCAAACAGTTCTGCAACATTTCTACCTTAAGCAAGCAATTAATTTCAAGTATATTGATCTAAGGCCTGGTTTTCTTTCCAGTTTACTAAGAAATAGCTTTTAGGTTATGTGAAACCTGCCTAGTTGGGTGTTCTTTTTTCTTTTGTGTTGGTTTTAGTTTATTGTTTTTTTTTTTTTGTTTGTTTTGTTTTTTTTTTAACAGTTCATTTCATTCTACTGCTCAAAAAACAATGCCACTTTCCCTTCCCCCTTCTTATGCTAAATTCATTTTAAAGTTTCATGGGGCTGCCCATATCATAAGCCTGGCCTTTTCTTACTACATCTTGATTTCTGAAGTGAAGCTACTGTCAGATTCCATTTGCCTATACAGATGAATTCTCATCTATGTGTTTGCAAACTAGATCAAACTTAGTGACAGTTGAGCATCTGAAATGTAAGGCTCTAAAAGCATCTATTTGTCTCTCATCTTTCCAACTCAACAGATGAGACTTCTTTAAATTTTTAAGAAGGGCATATTGTTTCTACAGACTTACACGTATGGTGAGAGTACTTCCGAATCACTTGCCTCTAGTTACTGTACTGGAACTGTAATTTTTTATAAAGCCTTCTCCTTAATGCTGCAAAAGAGCACAATAAGTTCTCTCCAGTGAGTGCCTGAATGCTAGGTGAGAAACACAGGTTACATTCACCTTGAAAGCAGTACTGCAACAGAACAGTATTATTTTATATCCCCAAAAAGTGGATTATACATGACAAATATTTCCATTCAAAAGCCAGCTAGGGTTTTCTTCCTCCAGTTCTGCAGGAAATAAGTCAATCAGATTTAAGAGGTGTCCAAATTAAGAACTGAATAGCATTATTTTATCCTGTATGTTCAAAAAAGTATGCAATATCCAACGTCTTCTCACACTATTTTCTCTCATATCCATGATAAATTTTGAAACGGTCAGAATGTTTGAGTTCTGTTACACTGGGAAACAAATCAGCTTTATATTTATTCACAATGCAGATGGTGCTGGCACATCTCCCCCTTGCTGTACATGATATATCATCTTTTTGTGCAATTCATGGAGTAAATCCTCCTCAAAGGTTAAGACTCTACCAGAGCAATCTGAAGTACTCCAAGTGTTAAAAAAGCAATTATATGGTTAAAAGCATGTTTTATGTTTTTATTAATTGTAGGAAAATCTTTAGTTTATGGCTTTATTCTTAATACTACATTTTCCAATAGGATGGGGGAGGGAAGGGGGAGAAATGGATGACACTACAGCCTTCCCCCCCCCTCATTATATTAAGTTATACAATCATATTAAAATATTATAAGATAAGAAAACAACAAACCTGACCGCTCCAAGCACAGTAGAGGTTACAGATGAAGCTCCATTTGTGATTGATCACACAGTCCAGAATCTTGAATTGGGCCATGTCTTGCTATAGCGCAGACTGCTGCTGTGCTCTGACTCAGCTTTTGCCCGAGTGATACTAAAGGATATGAGAGCTATGCAGTAATGACATTCAGGAACAAGGACCTTCCTTCCTGCTCAGACTCCCTTCCCACCCCAACCATGTGTCAACTCAACAAGATAAATTGACAGAACGGCATAACATTCTTCAAAACAACACTTCCGAAACTGTCAAATTATGCATTCTTGAAAAAGAAATGGGAAATCAGAACATCCTAAGAATTCTCACTACAGCAAATAGAACAAGGTGCTCTCAAGCTGTGCTTGTGTGTTTTTTTTTTTTCTTTCCTGCTGCTGCTGAAACCAGTCCAAACATCACCAATCATTCATATCGTAGATCTTAAACATGCTTAGGCAAGCGCTTAGGCACAACTATGATACTGGCTTCTGCACTTTCACAAGATCCAAAAGCTGTGTCTTCTGTCTTAAAGCACAAAGCCACTTTCCAAAGCCAGGAGAACCTCACAGATTTCACTGCAGTCACAGAGGTTCATATGCTTCATGTTCTTAAATGAAGACTCTCCTTTAAACCATCACAGCACTACGCACAGGAATGCTGTCTGCCTTTTTTTAACAAAGGATAAGGACTGCCCTATGGGCAGGGGAATGGAAGATGAGTGGTGAGATCCTGAAAACCTGAGAAGTACTAGAAATGTTTCTTTCTTCCTTTACTTATTTCTCTTTTGCAGTCTGTAGATAACCCTATATCAAATATACACTTTCCCCTCTATGAATTGATTCTCTAACTTGTGTTCCCCTTCCCCTTTAATTATGATTAGATGAACCACTAGACTTGTTACAAAACAACTTTAAATTATCTGAGGTTTAAGCACCACGACTAATGATCAAACTCTTCAGCACCAGCCAGACATGGTTTTATCTATCAGCTGTAGCTCCAAATAACTTAAAAACAGAACGCCTTATTTCTGGAAAATGTGTGATATCCCAAGAAACACCCACTGAGGTGAACAGACCCCAAAATTCTGACCCGAAGCCAAGATAGGAGCAGAGACCTCCACAGGACACAGGAGTCAGGTACTCCCATACCCAGGCTCAGTTACTCCTCTAGTAAGAGGAGGACAAGGAAAATACGAGAGATGTGGATGAGAAGGGAAGAATCCCATTTGAATGAGCATTCATGCACTGCCTCAAGGAGAACATGTGTGAGATGCAGGAGACTTGTCTATCATGAGAAAGTATCTACAAAGGGCTAGAGGACAAGGTGGCCACTTCAACCTTTGCTTTACTAACAGCCAAACTACTGAAAATTATTTCAATCATAAAAGAAAAAGTGGAAATAAACTTGTACATGAGAGCCAAACAAATGGCTCGGCCAAATAGCAGCTTGTAATTCTGAAATAGTTATACAGATACAGTCTCATTCGTTTTTAATCGAATAAAAAAAACTTGTTCCAAATTCTCATCCCAAGGGCTCTGGGAATTAATGCCAAAGTCCAAGGAAATCTCTTCCCTTCTCAGGAGTATGAAAGTCTGAAGACTGCCAGAACACAGCTGTGTGCAAGAGATCTATGCTTTTTAAGATGTACATGGCAGAAATTCTCCATTATCATTATGGAAAAGGGAGGAGAACAATATCAACATGCCACTGCACAAAATTAATGTAGCCCAAGAAAAAAAATACAGAAATTGAAGTGCTTGAGATATTAGAAGCATAAGAGCTCTTTGTACAAGTGAAACGGCCAGCACTGAAGCAGTCTGTTCTGACAAGAGGCTGGAAGACAAGTCCTGCTTAGCAACTATTACTGGGTGGAACAGACATACTTCCTCACAGCAGACATCATAACTATATAAGCCTGAGAAAATTTGGAGCAAGAGGATGTCTGGGGAGGTCTGATGAGAGGGGGATACTGCAGAGATGCCAGAGCAGAACAAGGCAGCAAGGCATACAGAAAGGGAAGGCTGGAAGGAGGCACAAGTGGGCGCCCTGTGGAGCAGCAGGCAGGGGTGCTGGCAAAACCCATGCAGCAGCCTGTGTGGGGCTCAGCAACAGCCAGCTGCACATCAGTTGTGCTGTGGAAAAATGCTGTCATCAGCTGAACAGGGTGGAGGGAAGAAGGGAAAGGAGGTCTGGAAAGTTAAGAAAAGTTTGCTTGTTTAGACCAAAAAAAAAAAAATCGCATATTGTCCAATTCTGCAACAGTCAGTGTCACTATTAACTACTTTTAGATTTATATGTTATTATCCAGTATTTAGTCCCACTAAAGTACTCAAACTCCTCATAAGAATTCAACATGGCACGTTAAAAATACTGTCCATAATTTAAGAAGTCAATTCAGCCTCAAGAATCAAGTTTGTGCAATTCTTCACCTAAGATCAACAGCCATTACGAACCCGCTACTTTCTGGCATTGACTTTCAAAGCTGTTGTAAGGAAATTCTGAAACAACTCATCCCCCCCAAATCTGGCCAGTGCTTATGTAATACTGCAGTTCACACAGAAGTATCTGAATCCTTCAGATAAAAGCATAAATTACAATAGATTGCAGTAGAAAAACATTTTCAAACACAGTCAGTATTGGTTTGGCTTTCTGCCATTAACAATTGATATCAAAATACTTTTAAACTTCAATAAGCATGGAAGGAGACAAGGACCAAAGTTCTTACAAGCCTGAGTGTTTGCTCACACGTCCTCAGATAAAAGGAGGAGCTCAGGAACTGCTACAAGAGCTGCACCTGCAACAGTAAATTGCATTTATTGCCTAAAAAATGTCCCTCCAAGTCAGTCTGTGTACTTCTAAGTTTAATCTGCCATTACTGAAAACCATTCCTGACAGCCTTCAGCTAGCCTGACAATTGCTCCTATTTACAAGAGACAACCTCCTTCCTGGTACAAGGTTAAATCAAATTCCACTACCTTATTTTAGAACAGAATAGAATTTTCTTTACAAATCACTGTTACGTGTTTGTTGGAAGATCTCGTGGATTTCTTCTAAGCACAGCTACGCTTCAGAGTCTGCTTAGAAAATTCTTGAGTAACTGCACAAGAATTGATGGAACTACCTTCAGGTTGGCACACAGTAAAGAGTTTTCAATACTGAACTTACTAATGCCTTCCTTATGAGAATGTTTAATGCAAAAATAAATAATAAATAAATTAGAAGGTTTACATCATTTTGGACAAACCTTTAAGAACAAGGCTTCCACTCTGAATTTCGAACCGGGGCACAGAGGCCAACACAGCACATAAAGGTACACTCCCAGCAGCAGAGAATGACAGTGGGCACGTATCCATGTCAGCAGGCTCCAAAGGTCTCAACATTCCATTACCCAGAGAGCACCCTGCCACACTGTAAGCTCTGACTGAGAGAAGGTGCCGATGACACAGAAGATGATTTAAGTTACTCAGCTTTCCTGTATCTTTACACATACTAATGAACAGACACAACTAAGGTTATCTTTTAGAGTCAGTCATGGAAAACATACTTCAATAAATGATGACTGGACTGAGAACACGAGTGAGCTGAGCAAGTCCCATTCCAATCAATCAGTTATTACTCCACCTACCCAGTTAAGAGACCAGCGCTCTTGCAACCAGTAGCAGGCATTCCCTTGGCATTACCATACAAAGTATCCACAAGGATTTTGCTGCACTCTGCACAGATTAATTAATACTTCATTCTTCCCTGTAACAACATTTTAGTGATTTCAAAAAGAAAACAGAACATACACAGACACCAGCAACAAAAGCAAACAGGATCTCTGACTTGACTCTTCCTTTCTCTCACATCAGATGCTTACAAATCTGGAAAGCATCTACTTTCATCAGAAGTTACAAGGTTCTAGAAAGGAAAAGGTTTTGCTCATCTTTCTTCTCTCACAGACAGAAGCCTTTAGCAGTACCTCTGGGTTCTGTCTGTTTCTGTTAACCACAGTTGTGCACAGTGGGCACTTGAAAGAATTTCAAGAGCAGCACAGATGTATCTCAGAGATTGCCAATGAGGTCTAGATTTTTAATGACGATGGTGAAGCTCCAGAGGAAGTCTGGCCCACTTTAGTAAATTAAATTAAGAAGTGAACAAGAACAAGAAGGAAACATTCATTAAAAAAAAAAAAAAAAAGACACAGTCTTTCCATTGCTTAGATCACAAGACTGACAATGATAAAAGTTTTTACACACTGAGTCAAGAGCAGGAAGGGGCTGCAATAGGATTTCCATTCTGAATTCTTTCCCATCATTGGAATTCTATCAAAAGCTATGAACATTAAGTAGGGAAAAAAAAAAAAAAAAAACAGTAAATGCCAAAACCACCTCCTTCCATCTTAAAAAAAATCTGGAGTGTTTCCTTCCCCCAAATCAACTTCTTTTTAGGATGCAATACAGTTGAGAGAACTATCAACACAACAAATACCCTTCGGGGATAAATGCAGCTGTACAACAGCTGGTACAGAACCATTCACAAATCATACAGAGTTGTTTCTATGAACAATTTAAAGACATTGCTAATGCAGAATGAAGTCCTCATCTGTTTGGTTGCAAGAAGACTTTTGAAGTCATGGGGAGCCATTCTCACAGACCTCTGTTGTTATCCTGTTCATTTTCAAGGAGACTGGAGATATATATATATATATATTGATGTGGAGATTGTTAGGCTGAATCACAGCAAAGAGAAAACCCTTCTCCCTTGAGCTACCAATTAACAAGTAAGCCAAAGAGCTGTCCCTTTCTTAGATGTTAGCTTAACACAGCCATCTTCAGTAGCTCATTTTCAGTAGACTATTTTGGTGTTTCTTTACTCTAACTTCTGCTTCTGATATGATACAAGACGCATTTTCTCTCCCCCTTTATCTAAGTTGTTCATTTACAGTTTTCTTCATTTCAGAGAATAGGTATCCAAAATAAAAACAGGCCTCTCACTAACTTCAGCTGCTGGAAAGTACCATTTTCTAAGTTATTCCACAAAAAACAAGCATTTTACAGAAAAGAAAAAAAAACACCACAAAAGTCTCCAAATTGAATGCTAGTAAGTGAGCTGGCAATCTTTAAAAACTGGAAGAAAGCTTCTACCATTGCTCTATTGCTGAGATGCATATCCATGTTTAATGGCGACTGAACAAGAAATACAAAGCAACACTTATTCTTAGACAAGGTACACTTCTGTGATAGCACTCAGCACTTCTGTAACATCACTGTATTAACAAGATCAAACTCGTGAGAACACAAAAGGTTTCCCAAGCTTTCATCGCCATTACCTCAGCTCAACTTATCATTACTTGTTTACCACCTTCACACTCCTGGAGGGCAGAACAAACACAGCACGCTCCTGTGGAAATTCCTGTCTGCCTAACCCCCTGTCCCCACAACTGCATCAGTTCTGTTTCAGAGTTTATCTGTTCTAACTACCCTTTGTTTTATAGATCAACAGAGGATGAAAAAGCAAAACATCTAAAAGCAAAGAAGCAAACGTATTTGTTACTGTGTTTTGAGTTAAATTGGTACTTTTCACCTGGTTACTTTACATCAACTCCACAAAAAAATGCACCATGACTTCATTTGAGCTTTCTCTCCATGGTTACCTTTTAAGGCCTGAGCAAAACACTTTAGTGCTCGTAAGTAACATAACACCATCATCAAATGTGTCATCACAAAAATGATGGTGACTGTAAGCTACGTTACTCATCACGTCTACACTGCATGCATGTCTCTGGAAGACAAACTACACAGTGGCAATGAAAAGGTTAATTATTATTTTTACTAGCTTAGAGAGCAAGGAGGTTTTGAATTTTTCTTCCCCAGGAACAATGGTAAAAGCATCTAAACTAAATCATATCAACTTGTATTGCTTTTGGAACAACAGCAGAAGTACTAAACTGGAAAGAAGGTTTTCTGTTTGCAGAAAAATAAGCACACTCACTGGCAGAGTCGTCAAGCACTCTGTCTGTCAGATGGCACCTACTAAAACAGAACATCATCAGATGCAGCACTGAAAGGTTTGACTGTGTCCAAAACTGGCTTGGGCCCTAACAGACACTACTTTTGTCTCCACATTCCTTGCTGTACTGCTGTACTTCCAAGTGACAAGTTCTGCTATTTTTTTTTAATCCCAGCCCCAAACCAGAACTGCAAGGTTACTTGCCTGCCCAAGACTGGGCTTCAGAATTCTGCAATTTCTATTCTGAGGAAGAATGTTTTAATAAATAAGTACATGGGAAAATAAAGGTGATTATGAAGAAAATCCTTCAAATGCATTAGGATGCTTATTTACACAGCGTATCTACTATAACACGGTTAAATCTTCTCAATAATCTGGCAATCTCTAAATACAAGATCTGGATAAAGCTAATCACTAGGTGCAACCACAGTGAAGCACCTCAGATTATCACCCAATATCCTCTTATTGAGACCATGATTTCTCTTCAGTTTCTCCATTTTTTTTAAAGTGTTACTAGATCTGTCATTTGACATTCTGAAACCATCTTCAATTGCTTCCAGTGTTTTTCATTTTAGAAGACACGTGCACTAGATCAAAGCTCTTCCTCACTGTTCTGTAGCTTTCTGCCCTTTCACTAAAGCATTTGTTCAGTCAAAATTGGATAGCCTTGGAAGAAAATACACTTTGGAAGAAGTTAACATCCAGCAAGCTTTGGAATTCTAAGAAAGTTTATGGTTCATTTTAGCAATAAACTTTATCAGGTTACAACATGAGTAGAATTGACTTTGGTCTCACGCATCTTGAATCTCCCTCTCATCATCTTTCCTCCCCTAAGATTCCCTCTGCGGGAAGAAATGTAAGTTTTTGGCTAGGCTGCAGTAATGCCAGTGCTGACAGCCAAAGCTCCCCCACCTCACCTCCAGTGGGAAGCACAAATCTAAGTTTCTCCTCCACCCAGCTGCTGACACGTTCCAAATTTCCAGGCACTTCCTTTTCTCTTTTCCTCTCTTCATATTTTACCAAAATTGGCCAGTGAGTTCAAGAGTACCTGCAAAAGAACTAACAGATGAGCAGACTGATGGCAACCACAGAATAAATAATCAGATTCAACAGTTCTTACTTCTTTGTTTCACTCCATTACAGCATCTGTTTCCTACCCTATCTTTTGTCAGAAGAACACAGGCCCTGCATTTTCAAGTGTACTGCCCTACACTCCTTCCACATCCCACTATTACACAAGCCACACTTTATAGCTTTTATTTTATAATAAATCATTCTCTTCTTCATAATCCTACAGTATCATTATTATTCTACAGAGCTGTAGGGATCACAGTCCTCTCATGAAAAGTAGAATAGACACGCAGTGCATCGGGACTATCGTTTTTAACACATTTCAATCCACTACTGCTTGAATTAATTCTTTATAACACCATGGACATCTAAAATAATTACGATGAAATGAGCCTATAGCCCTATTCTTGTCCAAAAAATTACATGAGCATAGGAGACAGTCAGGTTTTCCTGATCATCATAATATATAATACAGCACAGAAGAAGGAGTCTTGAAGGTTTCCAGAGTATGTGGAAGATAACTTTCTCACACAGCTAGTAAGGGACCCTACCAGGAGAGATGCCTCACTAGACCTGCTGTTCACACACAAAGAATTGGTAGGAGATCTGGAGGTCCAGAGCTGCATCGGGCATGAAATGGCAGACCACGAAATGGCAGAGTTCTCAATTCTTAGTGAAGTCAGGTGGGGGGGGGGTCAGCAGAACTGCTACCTTGGACTTCCAGAAGGCAGAATTTGAACTATTCAGGACACTGGTAGGGAGAAACCCTTGGGAGTCTGTCCTGAAAGGATTCATAAAGGCCAGACACTCCTCAAGCAGAAAGTCTTAGAAGTGCAAAAGCAAGCTGTCCATCTGTGCTGTAAGATGAGCTAGTGGGAAAGAAAAGAGGTGTGGATGAACACGGAACTTTTTCTGAGGCTCCAGGAGAAAAAGAGTTTACCTCCTGCAAAAGAAGGAATGGACAACTGAGTACAAAGTTGTTAGAATATGCAGGGAGGAAATTAGAAAGGTAAAAGCCAAGTTTGAATTCCACCTGGCCACTCTAGTAAAGGAAAACAAAAACTTTTTTTTACAAAGTGCTAAGGAGAATCTCCATCCTTTACTGGACATAGCAGGGACTGAGGATATGGAAAAGGCTGAGGTTCTCAATGCCATCTTTACATCTGTCTTTAAAAGTCAGACCAATTATTCCTAATCTATCCCCTGACCTGGAAGTCTTGGATGAGAAGCAGAATAAGCTCCCTACAATTCAGGTGGAAACAGTTAGAGACCTACTACTCCACCTGGACTGCCACAAGTCCATGGGTCTGGATGGAATCCACCCAAGGGTGCAGAGGGAGCTGGTGGAGATGACTGCCAAGCAACTTTCCACCCATGTATCAACAATCCTGGTCAACTGGAGAGGTCCCAGAGGACTGGAGGCTTGCCAACGTGACACTCATTTACAAGAAGGGTTGCAAGGAGGATCTGGGGAACTACAGGCCCATTAGCCTGACCTTCGTGCCAGGAAAGGCCATGGAACAGATCATCTCAAGTGAGATCACACGGTATGTGTGGGACAACCAGGGGATCAGGCCCAAACAGCATGGGTTCATGAAAGGCAGGTCCTGTTTAAACAATCTGATCTTCTATGATAGAGTGATCCACCAGGTGGATGAGGGGAAGACTGTTGATGTAGTGTATTTAGACATCAGCAAAGCCTTTGACACTGCCTCCCACAGCATTCTCCTGGAGAAGCTGTCAGCCTGTGACTTGGACTGGTACACTCTCAGCTGGATGCCCGGGCTCAGAGAGTGGTGGTGAATGGAGTTAAAATCCAGCTGGCGATGAGTCACAAGTGGTTGGTACTGGGTTATATCCAGTTTACTATCTTTATTGATGACATGGCATCCTGGCTTGTATCAGAAATAGGGTAAGCAGCAGGAACAGGGAGGCGATCATCCCCCCTTACTCAGCTCTCCTGAGGCCACTTCTCAAGTGCTGTGTTCAGTTTTGGGCCCCTCACTACAAGAATGACATTCACATCCTGGAGCATGTCCAGAAAACAAAGCTGGTATCACTGCATCCAACTCTATGAGGCACAGCTTCTGGAGTACCACTGCAGAGTACAAGGGATCAGAAGCCTACCTCAGCAGTGGTCAGACCTAAGCATGTAGAACGGAAATTCAAATACTAAGGTACTGACCATACAGATGCTAAATGGAGCAATATATTAGGCTGAAGAAAGGAGTATATCTGAAATCTCAAGTATTTTTAGAGTTCAGACAAGTGGACATACTTTTAAAGCATGAGCAACACTATGTACTAGTAAACATTACTGCAATACCTCCTGAAGGATAAAAAGCCAGAAGCCAGGTGTCCAACTTAGTCTGCATTTAACAGGCAATTACTTGCAGCACAAAGGAAACGTGACATGATACTTTGTTCTTTCATAACACTAGAATTTAAAAACCTTCTATTTCATAACCACAGGATAAAAGAAACTTTTTATGACAAAAACAAACAGTATGCAAAATACATCTGTAGCACTGGCAAAGACCTGTTCTTCCTCAACTAGAAGCACTGCCCCACTACATTTAGAGGAAGTCAACAGCTTCGCCCTCTAGCCTCAAAATTTCAATTACACTATGAACCCAAGGTAATTTTCAGTGGTTACCACTAAAGGGAAGTACACTGATTGCAGAAAACCACAGAATCAACACACTCAGCACCGCAGGGATGGTATCTAAGTACATCTTAGTAATAACGTGTCCCAGAATTCTATTTTTAAACCTTGCTTTGCTGGCAACACAATTCATCCATCCAAAATTTGAACAAAAACTAAAGCTCATCACACCCTCTGGAAGCTGAGATAAGCAGAATAACAAACTTTCTCACAACATAACATGTAAGAACACAAGTAGGCAGCATCCTAAAAACAGAAGTTTGCCCAAATTTGCACACTAGCTAAAGCACATGGAATTCACTAGCATTAAACACTATCTGATGATGAGTAAACTTCACTTCTTAAATGACCTCTGCTGTGTACATGAAGTATGTAGCACTTACATGATGAGCTTAGCCAACCCAGCAGCTTGCATCTTAGGAGGGAAAAAATGAGGAAGTCGGGAAGTCCTGTGCTCTGCCACTTCTTACACTTCCTACCATGTAACCCCAACACAGTCAGCACTGCAAATAGTGGATCTCTATGGGAAGGAATATCTCAGCTTGCTCTGGCTTTGGGAGAGAAAGCACACAGCAGTGAGACAAAAAAATGAAGTGCAGCGGCAACAAGGTGGGAAGCCCAGAGGTCATGAAGAGCCACAGACAGGTAAGAATAATGCCAGAGACACGGCCAGGCCTTGCAGATGGAAGAAAAACTTCCTAGGGACTGGAGAAAACTGGTCTCTGAGTTGTAGCAACCTGTACAATTCGTAAAGACAAAAAAATGAAAGCATCATCTGAAACTAACTCTAGAAGCAAGGGCATACTTCACTCCAGTCTGTGAAGAGTGACTGGTTGACAACTTTTAATTTAATATTTTTTTCCAAACAACTTTGTAAATAGAAGTGAATAAAATGTCTCTTTGAGCTTCAAAACATTTTAGGGTTATCACTGTTACTAGAGGGTACAAAGCTGTACCAGAACTCTGGCCAACAGGGTTCCACCACTGATTTGCGAGTTATAACTTCACTCCAACCCTCAACATGTATGCAGGTAGCTTCAGCAGTGCTTTGGAAACCAGTAATAGCACCCATGGAAGTAATGACAGTAATAAAATGAAGGACAAGCATGGTTTCTGTGGTACAAAGACCTAAATTATTTATGACTCTACCATCACCATTTATCATTCTTAGAAGCACACTAGTCTCAGACCCATCTTTCTTCCTCCTCATTCCCAATATCTTGACAGAAGAGAAAGATGTACATGAAAAAACTTCAAAGCGCAAGAAAACTTCCCAGCATTAAGTCAAATCAATGAGAAATAATCCTCTAGAAAGCAGATCTGCACTCTCACTGAACCACTGATCCTGAAAGCAAGTACTGAAATACAGGTGCTACACAAGCAAGGCAGTTCTTTACTTAGGAAGTCAAATGGATTTTAACTTTCCGTACCAAGATGTCTTCCTCTGGAGTCAGGTGACAAAGAAGAACCCTAAATTGTACCTAATCATCACCCTAGTCAAAACTCACGTGGGGAGAAAAAAAGCTCTCTCTTTCTCAGCCCTCACAAAGAAATTCCAGAAGACAGACTTAGTACCAAGATGAATCATCTGTTACTTTTATTTCTGTGCCTGAAACACCTTTGTCTCCAAAAGAGATGCCACCCACACCAGATCAAAATAGCACTGTTCTGCTGAGCTTCCTCTTCATCAAGTACCATGAGGTGGGCCTCAAAATCTATGCGTGATAGAAGAACTCAATATTTTGCAAGCTCTGCTTTCTTAACATATAAGAACTCTGCAGTCCCAGATAACTGCACTTTCCTGGCCTAAACATGATAAGAAATAATCTCATTTTTATTAGAAAACATGTGCCAATAAAGTTTATACAACATAATAAAATAATATTGGAGGAAGAAGAACATACAGTTCTAATCACTGTCAGTGGAGACCACCAACAGGGCAAGCAGCTGTTGAGGTCTTTGCCCAGTTACATGGAAAAAGCTGAAGAAGGCTCCTGGACTCCAGCCGCCCATTCCAGTGTTCAGCCATTCTCCATTACAAGATCCTTTGCTTGTCCTCAGCTGGCGTTTACGTTACTTTCACTGTACCTTTCAGCAGACTCCGACTGTCCTTTCCACAACATCCCTTCCAGCTGCTGAAAGCCCTGCAGAGGCACGTCAGCCTTCCCTGCCACAGGCCTGGCCATGCTGGCTCCACTGGCCTCAGAGGGCTGAGAGAAGCCCAGTGAGTGCCAAGCAGACAGGGAATCACATTCCTGCACTTAGAAGATGACACTCCAGGAGTTATGAACAATAAAATGAAGCCACACCAGTTTGCCACACAGGTAAACCAGTAGGAATTATAACACCAATGCTACCAATAGCAGGTGTAAGCATTCCTTTTCTCCTTCATTGAATTGACTGAGCCACCCCATCCACACCTTCTAAAGCAGCATGTAAAACCTTTCTCAAGTCTTTTACCCTTTCAAAAAAATAATGCACTGCCACACACTAAACTAAGAAACCCAACAGCAGATGTAACTCCCCGTTCAGCAGGAAGAGGTGAAGATGAGTAGGGTGACAGAGGATGTCAAGTGGTCCCCATTTCTAGGCTACACAACAGTGACTGACAATCAAACATTAATAGAACATCAGCAATCCACCCCTCAGTGTTTGTCTCAGGTTAAGAACTCTTCATCTGCACTGAATACAGAAGAAAACATTTGCCCTGAAAGAGTCCATGTCTACAAAAGCCGGATACATTTTGTAGAGGAACTGTTAGGTGAAGGCTTGAACTGGTGATTGAGCAGCTGGTAAGGGGTATGTCTGGCCTAGGGAGCGCAGGCAAAGTGTTTGCACCTGTTCTCCCAAGTGACCAGAAGGGGTGGACCCAGGTGCAGCCAACTTGGGCATATAAGAGCCAGCCACTGAAAGGAGAATCCCCCTTGAACACAGGCTGCTTTTTGAAAAGGAGTACTGCGTAACCAGAGAGCCTCTTCACCAGCTGGGTGAGTTCATCTCTTCTTTCTGTCCATGACTATTGGTCTACCTGCAAATACTTTCCTGATATCACCAAGGACAGTTTTGTTTCTTTGTGAGTAGAACACAGTTAATGGGAAATGATTTTTTTCTTTTAAACTGATAAATTCAGGATTATAGTGCTAAGCTAATAAAAAAGGCAAAAAAAAAAAAAACAACCAAAACCCTAGAAAGCTCTCAGTTCTCAGCAGTTCTCAGCCCTACTGAGGATTTAAGGGTTATAGCTGATGGAAAAACTGAACACAAGCCAGCCATGTGTGCTTGCAGCCCTAATGGCCAATGGTGTCTTGGGTTCTATCAGAAGATAGGTAGCCAGCAAGGCAAGGGTGATTGTCCTCTATTCTGCCTTTGTGAGACCCCAGCTGGAACAGTGTCCAAGTCTGAAGTCCTCAATGCAGGAAGGATGCAGAGATTTAGAAGAGGGCCCAGAGAAGGGCTGCAAAGATGATCAGAGAGTTTAAGCACCTCTCCTATGATGACAGGCTGAGGGAGTTGGGCTTATTCAGCCTGGAAAAGAGAAGGCTTTGGGGAGACCTCACTGCAGCCTTCTAGTATTTAATGGGAGGTTATAAACATGAGGAAAATTAACTTTTTATGTGTGTAGATAGTGACAGGGCAAGGGAGAATGGTTTTAAACTAAAGGAAGAGAGATTTAGATACTGGGGGAAGTAGTGAGGTGCTGGAACAGGCTGCCCAGAGAGGTCATGAATGCCCCATCCCTGGAGATGTTTAAGGCCAGATTGGATGAGGCCCTGGGCAATCTGATCTAGTACTTGATCTAGCAGATGGCAACCTGCCTGTGGCAGGGGAGTGGGAACTTGACAATCCTTGAGGTCCCTTTCACCTCAAGCCACACTATGATTCTAAATTCATTACTGAGAATCTTTTTTGTTACTGTGTTAATGTAACTTCTTTCTACTTTTAGTCAGAAAGAAATTATTCACTCCTGAAAAACACTCTGGGACTGAAATAACATACACTGGAAATCCAGGTTTAAGAAAACCTGAACCAGCATACTCTTCAAGCAACTGAGAATTCCCTCATCCACCAATGGATTTTCTGCAAGTGAAAAAGAACACACTACTCAGAATGCATTACAACATTCTCGATAGTGTAAGTGAACTATGGCCAAAGTTAATGTGTCAGTGAAACCTAATTAAAATGTACTGTTGTTCTTGACACCGTAAATTAATAGGCAAGTCCTAGACCACTCAAAATCTATCAGATGTCTGTCAGTGCTTGGTGGAATACTAACATTTCTCCCAGAAATCCTACATAACAAGTTATATATTATGTCTTCAAAAAAAAAAAATCAAAGAAACAATCGTAGGTGAATCTGGGGAATACAAAAACAAACCAGAACACTAACAGAAACCTATAAAGATGCAGGGCTTTTTTTTTTTTTTTTTTTAGAGGAAGACTAAGCTAACTATGTAATAAACATCAAGACACATGAATCTGATTCAGAGTTGCTTATATTCCAAAAGAAAATAGGCCTTGATCCTTAAAAAACTCAGTGTCATATTAAGTTCACACTGTAACTTAGGAATGTCTTCTACCATTCTTACTGCAGCACTGGCATGCAAGTGGCCCATCGATCTTGAAACTGCTGCTCATGTGCTAAGCTCTTCACTAGGTAAGTGACAGTAACAGGCTGTGCAAAAATACTTGTTACTGGAGAGGTAGCTCTCTTCTCTTGCTTTTTGTTTTCACTATAGCAACTGTGAATAGTGGTGTTCAGGATCCTAGGAGAAAGCAATGAAGCCATACAGCAGCATCACAGCCCCAGGGGAAGGAAAGACCCCAGAAGGGTTCGGGGATCAGCACAGAAGAATCCCATGGGACACTATCCTGGAGAGGAGTCCAAGAAAGATGCCTGACTTTCAAGAATCTCCTCTTCCAAGCTCAGAAATGGCCCATACCAATGGGCAGGGAATCAAGCAAAGGTGGCACAAGGCCTGAACAGATGAAGGAAGAGCTTCTGGCTGAACTCAAATATAAGCAAGAGCAAGACCTGGGTGATCCAAAGGGAATTCAGAGACAATGTCTGAGCAATGGAGCCATTGTCATAAAAGCCCAGGTGCAATTGAATCTGGAAGGGACATAAAAGATAACAAGAAAGGTTTCCAAACATACAGAGGACAAGAAGGTGGATTTACAAAAGGGAAACCATGGTTAGCAAACATGATGGCTATTTGGAAGGAGATTATAGGCTTGGTGAAAAGAGGGAAGAGCAGTGGATGTCAAAACAATATCAACTTAAGGACAGCTTTTGACACTGTCTCCCATGAAGTCCCTACAGACAAGCTGGTGAAGTACAGGCTAGATAAATGTTCAGTGAACTGAACTGAAAACTGGCTAAAGTGCCAGACTGAAAGGGTTGTGATCAACAGCAAGAGGTCCAGCTGGATGTTGGCCACTGGTGGTGTGCCCCAGAAGTCAATATTGAGGCCAAGACTATTTAAATCTTCTCTGATGACATAGACAATCAGGCAGAGTGTACCTTTCAGCCAAGTACCCAGATGATTCAAAACTGGGGAGAGTTGCTGATCACCATGAGCATCCTGCCATTCAAGTGGATATTGACAGGCCAGAAAAACAGGCAATTGAGAAACTCAAATAGAAATGTCAGGTCATGCACCTGGGGAGGAATAGCCCTGAGCAGCAGCACGGGCTTGGGGTCAATCAACTGGAAAGCAGCTCAGCGTAAAAGGTGCTTGAACTCCTGATGGTCAACATGCTGAACAACTTTCACAAATGTGCCCTCAGAGCAAAGAAAGCCAACTCTTCAACTCTGTCAGAGCACAGGGAAGAGAAAACAAAGGAGAGAATTCAGTTTGATATGCATCTCAGAGAGCCAGAAATTCTAGCAGGAAAAAAAAAAAAACCATGGGGGAAGAGGTAGTTCTGCTAGGCAAATTTTGTTAATGCTGAAGGAGACACCAGATGACGTACACTCACACTTCAGCCCATGATTCACTGTGAGAAGATGCACAGGAATCTTTTTACTCTTCCTCTCTTTAAGATTCACTTAAATTTATGAATTTACAGTTGGTGTGTTACAGCAAGCAGTCTGCCTCCCTGCTTTTGAGGAAGCATCTTTAACTCCATCAAGGACTGCTTTTTTTTTAATGGCTGAAACTTATTTTTCTTCATAGCTAATAGCATGCCAGGTTTTAGATATTGTATCTAGCTAAACATCAATAAAAATAATTTGTCTTTGAAGCCCTTATAATCTAATGCTGTAAGAATGTTATGATGCTTGGGGCATCTGTACTGAAACCTAGCACCAATTCCCTGGAAATATGGCTAGCAGAAAGCGCATGATGCAAATCATTTACTTATATTCTACCGTGTAATAAAAGAATAATAGAACTGGCACAACTGTTTTTTCTCAAGAATTAAAAGGCTTTTTCCAAAAGCCCATTTACTAGAACTGTTGATCTAAAGCCTGCTGAAATCAACAAGAATCTTTAGCTGACCAGACTGTCACGGGTTATTTTATGGAGTAATATGGTAAGAACAAAGTTATTTTCACTTATTTCAGCTATTTTACTAGATGGTACTTCTTTCAAATAGGAAATCTTCATTAACATAAACCACCATAAAAATCTTTTCCTACCCATTTAGTTTCACTAACTTCTAAAATCATACGTACTTAAGAATCAAAAAAAGTATTCTAGACTGCAAACATTTTAAGCAATAACTGCAATGGAACTTCAGGCAACTGGATGGAACTCACAGTACAAAACAGCCTAATGGAACAGTAAAGACTCTACTGCCATAGGTAATAGCAGTATACAGAATAATGTAAGTCATGAAATGGGTTTGTGAAAGAAACTGAAAGCATCCCAAAAAAGGCTTTACTACAGAAAAAGATCTAATTGAAAATATATCTGTAGTGAGAAAATGCAACTATTCCTATTACCTTCCCAAATGAGAAAGTGTGTCTAGAAGGAAGAAGCCAGGTTTCTCAAAGAAACAATGGTACCTGAGGTTAGAGAACACTGGGAAAACACTGCTGCTCATCATGGGTTGTGAAAGTTAATAATCCTCATGTGAGAGCATATTCTTGCAATCCCTGCTTGTTCTCCTAGTAGGGAAGACTACAAGAGCCTTTCAAGGAATGAAAGCTTATGATATGTTGGGCCCTAAGAAGCAAAGAGAAATCTGCCAGGCCAGATTATCTAAGAAGGGGAAGAGACTGCAGCATTAACTGAACTTAAGGTCAAGTCACTCCCACAAATCCTGTTCTTAATCTCATACCTAATACCTTTCCCTCAACTCATCTGGTAGCATTAATGGCTTGAATTTAAAGGGGAAAAAAAAACTTTGAAACATCATGATTCACCCTTCTGGCACTAACTGAAAGGAATCAGACATTACTGATGGTGTTTGTGCTTCACCTCCCTCACAACAGAGGCAAAACACTGTATACAGATAAAAATCCTGGTTTCCAAACTTCAGGTTCCCATTCTGAGCATGAGTGTGCATTGAGACAACTGCTAGATCTCTAACTGACACTGCATCATCCCAACTACTACTGTCTCTACCTGGACATGAAGTGAATAAAAAGGTTAATGTGCTATAAGAGTTAGAATCTTTTTCTCCAAATAAACTCATATCAAATAATGTGGAAAAACAGACATCACAACATTCTGAGGTGAGGTTTAAACACAAGAGGTCTTCCATAATTTTTCAAGTTTAAGTATATATAATTTGCCAATTTAATGTGAAGGAGAAAAAACTGATTGTCCACATACAAGCCTAACAGAACAGTTTATCCCATACACACCTTGCTGAGTAACTGTCTGGTATTACCACAATCTCTTCTCACCTTAAGGAATTTTGGTTTCTCCGAGTCATGAATCACTGATCACACGAGCAGAAACCATCTCCACCACAAAAGCCGTTTAACATTTCAGGCCCAGCTTTAAAAACAGCACCAAGCACCAGGGGATGGGCTGGGAAGGGGCAGGTAGTTATTCTGCCCACCAACACGAGACAAAAACCTAAAATCAGCAGAACTCATTTCAAAGTCCTATAAGAGATGAACCTCTCTTAACCTTCTTGAGAACTGATTTTAAGGACTGGTGAAGAGAAGTTGCTTTTTGCCTGGTACAGCCTCTCCCTCCACTATTTCCCATACCTGTATGTCAGCAGACCCCAAAGCTCTGTAGTTTGCTGTGCAGATCCTCAAAGAGCTATCTTCTATCGCTAAGCAGGTGCCACAGAACCAGATGGGAGGGGGATACAGGAAACCACCTCTTCTGCAGTAGGCAGAAGAGCCAGTAGCATCATCCACCTAAGGAGGAGAATAGAGTTCTGCTATAGTCCTCGGGATTTTACTGGGTCTGTTGCTGAGTACTTGCAAGATCATAAGCAAATAGAAAAGTACGAGAACATAAAAGTGAAAATATTAGATGACCCACTAATGCATTAAGAATTAATAGAAACTTTAACTAACAAATAAAAGTATTCTATGTTTGATATCTAGCCTGAGCCTCCAAGAAATAGACAAAAAAAAAATCATGACAATTTGAAAAACTATACTTCCAGCTGCTGATAGCAAACAGCTGCCTTGTTTCAGCATGCTTAGCACAGAACCACAGCCTTGGAGGCCCGAAAGCAGAAGAAATTCTGGTGAGCTACCATGGAACTGGCACTAGAAGACAGCAAGAAGACTATAGGTCAAATCAAAGATTCATCCAGCCCTCCCCCAGCAGTGACCAAAATAACTGCTGACAATTAAGAGCAAGCATCACCACAGCATTCTCCAAGCTTCAATTGCAAACCCATATCTCACTCCACCACAAGAGTATTTAGTAACTGCTCTTCCAAAAACATACCTGGATTATCCTTCAGCTTCCATACACACCTTCAACTTCCAAAGTATTATAATGATGAGTAACATGCTTAATTAACTGTTATGCATAAGGGCCAGCCTCTTTTGCTTGTTCTCACTTCAATATTCACCTAACATATATTGGAACAAATAGTGAAACACTGATCCATACAAATTCAAGGGAGACTGAGAAGGCCACCACATCTCAAGTTCTCACTACACCTCCACAGTTTCCTCTTTCCTAAACTATGAAATCCTAAATTTCTTAGGTTTTGGTACACACACAACTCCATATGCTCAATAATCATAACTGCCCTTTCTCTGAGACTCTTCTTGTTCTAACATGTTGTTTTTCAGACGGGGAAAAACAAAGAGGGAAGCAAGAGAACCAGGCCTAGACACAACAGCTGCAACCATGCCATGGATTTATGCACCAAGGCATGACAGAGCCATTCAAAATTATTAGGAAATGAATGACAATTTGCTTTTTTTGACCACCACCAAGAGTTAAGCTACTGATTCTCTAGAACTAGCAATCACAGCTCTGAGGACTTAGTGAAGTGAGCTCCAAGTCAATAATTACCTCAGCATTTTCAATGCAACACTGTTTTAACCTCCCCCATACATACTACTTGACATTTACACACACTGAGTTTTCACTTTATCAACATACACTGAACATTAAGGGGTCCTTCGGAATTTCCTCACCAACGTTTATCTTCACTGGCAAGCAAAAAATCTGTACAAATAGAAAAATAAGTATTTCACTTCCCCACTGCCACTTAACTCATGAAAACAGCAGAAAGACCTGCTTAGCTGTACAGCTGAATCATACTCTCAGTCACAATGTAAACAGAAAAGAAAAAAACCTATTCAAAACCACTGACAAAGTCATTAAAAAAAAAAAAAGACCAGCTAAAGGGCATAGGCTATGCAATGCTACTTGTATTGGCCTGCATCCATTATACAACGTCCTGTTTTGTAACACTTCCATAGACAAAAAAAACCTTTGTTCCACCACAGAGCTACAAGAACCCTTTTGGATTTTTTGTTTTTCAAATAACAGTGATCAACTTTTTTTTTTTTTAATGAGTGTCATGGTTTTGTGATTTCTGGTTTTCAGTATTCCACATCATAACATCATGTGGGGACTGGGAGTTTAACCGTTAATGCTCAAGTTCTGGGTATCTGCCTGGAAGAGAAGAACTACATTCCCCAGGGGACTTTGTGGTCACAGGGAGGAGCTATAACTCCTGGCAAGGTCACCAGATGCGCTCTTTTTCACCTGCTCTTTGTCGGCTCTCCTCCCGTCTCCCTGCTGCTCAACTGGACTGCGCATCTCACCTCAGCGTTGTGGTGAGGCCTATCCACCTTTCGGACATTCTCTCTCTCATTATATTTGATTTATTACCTTCAATTTTAATTATATTGTATTATGGTGTGTTATCTTGCATTCCAATAATATATTTAGTAAATTAGTTTGTTTCTCCTCAGATCGTTGCCACTGTTTTTAATTATTTTGGGGTCCCCTGTTCCCTTTTTCCAGAGGCGTGGATTTTGCGAAATCCCTCTGCCCCGCTCGTCACGGAACCGGGCCGAACCAGCCCGTAAACCGTTGACAAATGAGAACAAAAGAGATGCAATTAATGAGCTTGCAAGATTACCTCCATGACATCAGTATCAGAATACCAGCTTACCCAAGTATTTATGGGTACTGAATTACTCCTGATTCTGGTGCACAGATTGCTAGAAACAAATTTACATGAATCATCTTCAATCTGCTAGCTTTCATCCCAGTGTCAATTTGAGGAGACGGGATACTTTCACATCTTTGGAGCAGAACAACAGCCATTCATTATTCCTTTCTAAAGGCCAGAAAGGAAATCACATTCAAGGCTCACCTATAGAGAGCTCCAAAGCAACTTCTCAATAAATTGAAATAACTAACATAAAGAATGCTGGACTGTGTTCAGACTAAACCCAAGGTAAGTACACAGAGGGCCTGTAAAATTGCCATGAAAATCGATTACTCCAGACAAAGTTTACTTACTCACCTTCCACCACGGTAAATGGAAATAATAAAATTTAAAAATGCATGCAAGAAAGGACAAGTAAGATTTAACAGCTATTGATGAACGAGAAGTGTTTGTGGCTACAAATGGGAATACTTTTCACAATAATCATAGGCTCGCTATTCAAGTTGCATCAAAACCAGAAAGCACGACAGCAACCCCGCAATTAAGATGAGACTGATCACTACACGGGTAGGAATGCCTTGGTTTTTGATTTAACCCAAATCAGATCCTCATCTTACAAGAGATCAGAACTTAAAGGTGATAAGAGCCACCTCCTTGAGGTGCACATACTGAGTGTGCTGCTGCTTTCAGCACAACACTATGTTTTGACTCTCAGCTGTGAAGGCTGCCCCAATACCAGGTGCATACCATTGTGTAGACTGCATCTATCTATTGCAAGCCAAACAATCTATAAGGGCTTCTGGAAATGTGATTGTTTTCCTTGAGCTCACCTCCAGGTCAAAACAGGTAGCTCCCCCAGGAAACATATCTGTATTCTAACCTGTTCTGCCTTTGCACTTTAAAATAAAAAATACACAGAAATTTGAATTAGAGGACATCTACATGTTGAATGCTAATGTTAAGTTGATTTAAGCAGCATTGACTCCCTCACCCCAGAGAGTTTTAATTCTCTTATGTTCTCATCAACTCCTTAATATGAAAAGTCCTAAATAGTTAGATGAAAAAATAGAACAGAATAGGAGAAAATAAAATACATTTTTAAAGGATGGGTGATTTGCAATTAAATTCCAGTAAGTAGTAACACTCCATTAAAATGTAGAAACATAACTAGGAGAGTACATTACCACGTCAATCAGTAAAACAAGATGAATTCAAAAACAAGCTCACATTTCTCTTCTCAACAGATGCATACCAACTACATTCATTACTTGGAAGCATTTAACATCACTATTCTCAATATAATTTAAAGCTTTCTCTCATTTCTCATTCCTGTCCTTCCAAGTGGAAAAATAAAAAGAACAAATCTCAGAATTAAAAATAAGGAGGATTAGGTCATCTAGGCAGCCCACTGATGCCAACGCAAGATTATTCCCTACAGTGTATTTGCTTGTGCTTAATGCAGTCCATACAGTGTGTCCTAACACATTATGCAAATGCCACATACATAAAAGAAAACTGTCTATCTTGCAGCACACCCCTCCACCAAGAGCTGAGCTGTAATTAGCCACGGCCCCTACGGAGGCTCCTCATTCACTCTTAGCAAGGCAGCAGCTGCTAGCAAAACGAAATTAAAAAAAAAAAAAAAATTGAAACATAAATAAGGCTACTACCTACGTTTCCAAAGGTGTATGCTCATGGTTACAAGCACGAGCACAAATCTAAAAAGCTGCTGGTATTTCTCCAGAAAGTCCACACAGCACCTCTGACGCCCAAATTTTTACTACTGTGATCCCAATCACGCTCCCTCAAACAACGTGCTGCTCAGTGAGCTGCAGCAACAGCCCCCAGTACTCTACTCATAAATGCTTTCCACACTGCAAGTTTTTGAGCAAAAATCAGAAGAGAAAAGCAGCAACATTTCCTACTGAACAGTCTGGTGATGGCATTCAAAGCTGTAATAGGGCATAGATGAAACAATTATATCTACATAATACAAATAAGGAGATCCAGAGAGCAAAGCCCATAGCTTTGCCTATCAACAAGCAAAAAACAGACTTTAGAGACGGTGGATATCATCTCCCCAGAAGAGTTTTTTCAAATCTAGCAGCAGGGATCAAAGAGCAAATTCAGAAAACTGTTTCACCCTTACAAAATAAATAAATAAATAACAATTCATGAAGCTCCACTGTAAGGACTGAAAGAAAAGCATGTTTCCTTCTGTGTAAAAACAAGACAAAAGACAGACACAACAGTGGAAAGCCTTCCAACGAAGGAGGTCTGGAAGTATTTAAGAGCTGCATACATAAAACAGCTTATCCCACCTTGCAACTGTAAGATTAAAAGCATTCACACAGAGAGTGGTGACACACTAGAACAGGTTGCCCAAGGAGGTTGTGGATGCCCCATCCCTGGAGGCATTCAGGGCCAGGCTGGATGTGGCTCTGGGCAGCCTGGTTTGGTGGTTGGCAACCCTGCACATAGCAGGGGAGTTGAAACTCAATGATCGTTCTAGTTCTTTTCAACCCAGGCCATTCTATGATTCTCTTAGGTTGAGGTGATTCAGGTTTACAAAATGTGCAGAGCTTCTGAGAGGAGGAACACAAAGTCTGTTTGATGTTGCTGCTCCCACCCATCACCTGCACTTACTTACACTTCTACTGCATTTATCTACTACTGGTGATGAGGAAAAATGCTTTCAGAAAAAACATAAGAAGTGAGAAATTATAAGAAGGGCTTAAACAGGAAAAATACTCACTTTACATTAATCTGCACTCCATATAATGAACAGGCAGATTATTTCCACTATCCATCAATCTGATCAGACAGCATAACTTTCATCTTTATATATTTATTATTTATTATGCTTGGCACAACACATTATTTAGTATATAGATTACCTATTCGGGGAGGCAGACACAGTCATCCTCTGTAGCACTGAGCTAAATCCAAGGACTTTATGAGCTCACAGGAATTGTTGTCTTCTGCAATGAAGGAGCCGCACCTAACAGCTCAGAATGACTTCTGGAGTCCAGTCCATTGACACATGGTCTCAACAGCAGTTACGCCACTCTGCCACTTGCAGAAGGGCTAAGTCAGGCTTTTTAGAAACAATGACCTCTTATTAACAACAGGAAATAAATCCGTTTTCATTTAACATCATTTCCTAAGTTTTTATATGCTGCTTCCTAGCCTTTGCAATTCAACATGCAAACAACTGCCACGAAGAACAACACAGCCCCTGAACATTAGAAAAGCTTCATTTTTCTCCATCTTCCAGTCATTAAAGCAAAAGAATAAAAACAACTACAAGCACCAAGATATATTCCTAGCAGGTTAATCAAACACTACAACATAGGTCTCCGCACAAAAAGATACAGAAAGGTTTTTGTTTTATAATGCTCACAGGTTGCACACATTCCTGTTATCATCATCTCCTCTACAAAGCAACATATGCACATATTCACAAAATTTAAAAAAAAAAAACAAACAGCTTTTACTTTTTCCAGAGACAATACTGAGCTACAATTCTGCTGAGCTACAATTTAGTCATCTGCCAAGATGACACTTTTGTACATTCAAGTAGTACAAGATCACAAATGCATAAAGTGCATAAATGCCATCAGATGCTTTCTCTTTCCCAATTGTTTGCTCAGTTGTTTTTCTGCGTATGCAAGTTAACAGTACAGACAAGGAAAAACACATCAGAAGGAGCAGGGCTATTATTTTTGCTTTTAGTTTAATAACAGGGACTGTTTAAAAGAACTCACAGTAGAAAAAAGAATCAAGTCAGTGCTTTGCTGTTTGTTAAAACTGCTAAAGAAAAACACCTTAGGGCCAGCTCTAAGGTACTGATAAATGATCAGGATGATAGACTCCAATACATACTAAGTAAGTTTACAGACGATCCTAGATTGGGAGGAGCTGTTGACTCCCTTGGGGGGTAGGGAGGCCTTGCAGAGAGACCTTGATAAACTGAAGGGCTGAACAACCACATGTAGTTTAAGGCAAGAGCCAAATTCTTTCCGCACCTAGGATGGTGCAACCCTGGATACTTGTATACAGAGTGGGGGATGAGAGCCTTGCAGAGCAGCCCCACGGAAAGGGATCTGCGGGTTCTGGTTGATGGCAAGGTAAATGCGAGCCAGCAGCATGCCCTGGCAGCCAAAGGGCCATCCCTGCCCTGGGGTGCACCAGGCCCAACACTGCCAGCAGGTGAGGGAGGGTTGTCTGCTCTGCACAGCCTCAGCTCCAGCACTGGGTGCAGTTTGGGCTGATGAAAAGGACAGAAAACTATTAGAGAGCACCTAAAGGAGAGCAACAAAGATAGTTATGGGTCTGGTGGGCAAGACATGCAGGGAGCAGCTGAGGTCACTGTGTTTGCTCAGCTCAGAGCAGAGGAGCTGAGGGGAGGCCTGATGGCGGCTGCAGCTCCTCACAGGGAGCGGAGGGCAGCGCTGAGCTCTGCTCTGTGTGACAGCACAGGGCCCGAGGGAACGGCATGGAGCTGTGTCAGGGGAGGGCAGCTGGGGCCAGGGAATGGTTCTGCACCACAGGTGGTGGGCATGGAACGGGCTGCCCAGAGCTGCGGGCACAGCCCTGAGTGTTGAAGGAGCATTTGGACACCGCTATCTGACACTGCGTTTGGATTCTGGCAGATCCTGTGTAGAGCCAGGGGCTGGATTTGCTGATTCCTCTGAGTGCTTCCAACTCCAGATATTCTATGATTTACCACTTTAACACGTGTATTGCATACTGTAAATGCAGTTATTTTGCACTGGCACAGTTCAAGGTGGTCTTCAATCCACTGGGCTTTTCTTCCAAAAGTTCTTATTTCTCAGACAAAGCTGTCTTTTTGGAAAGACAAATTTCACTTTTTTTTTTTTTTTAATTGTCAGATGCAACTACACTTGAAGACACATCCCCACCTTTTCTGAAGGAAATCAATAATTTGCTGCTTTATATTATGACTTAACAAATCAGTAACATTTCCCTACAGAAAAGGCCCATGTTCTGTCAAATTACCTTAGGCTTACTCTGACATAAATATGAGCAGCAGCCAGCGTCAGGCTTGCATGAACAAACAGGCTTTGACTCAATGTTTTTGAATAGTTAAGATGACCGCTCTTCCTGGTAACTCTATCTGGTATCTGTATTAAATCTATTCTCCCTTGATACAGTATTTGTGCAGAGTTCTCTGGAACACAACTAACAGCCACTGCTAACAATATGTCTTCTTTCTAGTACGGTGTATTAATTTACATACGAAATCTTACAAATGCCTTTCACTAATTTTTAGTTGTTACATTACATTTAAGCTTCTTTACATTACAGTTCTGCCTCTACACATAGAAAAGGTACTGGTCTCCACAGATAAGAGTTCCAGAGCAGCTCACACATTTACAGGTGTAATTACTGCGTGTCAGTCTGCACATATCTAAGTACAGCCCTCCAGTGCTTGTGCTTCTACACTAGAGACACAAACACCTGGGTGTCAGCACTCTTACTAATGTCACCCCAACTAGTCTGGTATAATAGTAAACAGTCCACTAGTTATTGTTCATGAAAATGCCAGTCATTTTCTATTCTGGCTGTCATCATTGCCCTTCTCTGGTTCCTCACCTGTCCAGCTTATTGCAGTTGTGCTCCCTCTGATAAGGTATTAGAGAAAAATATCGTAGAACTTATCTTCCCCCTGTGTTTGTCACCACAAATACTGAACTTCTGAAAATACCAAAGCAGCTAACTTTGCTTTTATTGCAGTCTTTGGAAATGCACCTCCTAACTATTTGACCAATACAGAAACTCCCAGGAATTCCTAAAGATGGTCTATTCCTAACAATCCAGCTGTTCAGAAAAAAAAAAAAAACACTCCAAATTTCTTTGCAGTAAAGTATTAGATATTTCCAATTAAAAAAGAAACATGCTCAAATGAGTGCCAACAAAAAGTATCAAAAACTCTCAAAATTTATTGATAAGTAATTTTATTAGAATTCATCAGTAGAGGAAACAATGCTTTACCATAAAGTTTGCCTTTTAAAGCCACAAAGGCCACAGTTATATTTTTTTCAATCCTACATTTTAATATTTTTTAATTTTTTTAATGTAGATTTACTGCAAACAGCACTTAAAAAACTTACTTACTTAAAAAAAAAATCACTTTGTGGTGCAAAGTAGTAGGCAGAGAAAGGGAGTTCATATTTACACTAACAAAGAAGCCAGCGCCAGCCTTGAATCTGGACAAGCCTGTAAATGTGATGTTGTGACTAAGGCAGTACTGCCTGTAACCCAGCAGGGCTTAATCTCTACAGCAAAACACGGCTACAACCTGACAAAATGGAGATAGCATACACTTAATAATCTAAAAGCAAGAGAAAGCACACTTTCACTTATCTGTCCTTATGAACATAAGCTCGGCAATTCTTGTTTCCATTTGCAAATGTGTGTCAGATTTCAAAAAGAATGGCAAACAGCCCTGAGAGTCCCTGGCCCTCTCTGCCAACTCCCCCAAGAGCCCAGAATACGTGATCTGTCCCTTTGAACAGGCACTGCAAGCCTGAATGCATAATCTTTGTTCTCAACAATCATTTCGGTGCAGAGCTCCAGAGTGAGAGAGACCATCAGGTACAATGTCAAGGCAAAAGGGAAAAAGAAAAGTGAAAAACAGAAATCATGGTAAAGCAAGACGAAAATTGAACACAATATCAGAATAAATAGGCAGCCAAACAAAAAGAAATTATCTACCCCACAATATGCACTAAGTAAAGAAGTCAAACCATATGTCTGTACTTTGCCCATCTCTGTGTGCAAAGATAACAGAAGCAAGAGTTTCTTGCTCACAAGTTCCCTTCCCTTGTCCAGCTGGTGTCTCACTAAACCCTGATGCTTATAGCTGTGTGCTTTCAAAACCTCTGAAAAACTGAAAATCCTAACTTCTGCTGCAGCTGCCTCACCCATAATGAACACAGGCTGTGCCTGGGCTCTTCCTCACAACAACTTGCTGCACTTGCAGGTCAATGGCTAAACATTACACGGGCTTGAGTTAATATTGCATTACAATGTGAGCAACATATGGAAGACAGTGTCCCAAAAACATAAATCACTCCCCCAAAATGCTAATACCTTTAATGCCAGCATTAGCACACCATAAAACCCCCATCAACTTCTTAGCAAATTCAACAGTTTTGGTTTGAGTTTCTTTATTTAAACAGTAATTTCATTAAAAACATTTCCTAATTTTTTTTTTCCCTAGAGAAATTATGTCCTCACTGCCCCATACACATCCTATTTCAGTTAGATTGTTCACATACAGCACGCCAGCACTCGGCACAGTAACTGTTCATCAGCTGAACCCAGACAGTAGATCACAGGCTCAGAAGATCACAACTCTCATTCTCTCTTGGTCTTTCACACCATTCTATGAAAGAAATAGAAGAATAAGGAAATAAATTGTACTTTAAGCCATGTAGGAATACATATGCTAACGAGAAAGCACTGCAACCTTGATTAGCCATTCACAAGGGCCATCTCCATTCAAGCAAAGATTATGTCAGGCCTGTTGTGATTAAGGCATCATCAGGGTACAATTATCAGGGTAGGAACCTGCCTTCTTAGCAGCTAACATTTAACTGCAACACCAAAATACCAGGCAAAACACCAGGCAGCACAGCCCATTTTACAATCCCACACCCATTGGTTAGCTTTAAGACAAGGAGCTGCAGAAGTGCCAGGGGTCTCATCAGGGCTTACCAGGAAGGAGAGGTGGATTAGGAGAGGAGAGCCAGAGCCAAGAGACCAACAGACTCGATAGAAATAAAAAGCAGATTTTCACTTTAACACTTCAGCATGTGGCTGCTTCCCTCTTCATACCTCACACGAATAGTACCAAGGGATACATTCTCCAAAAATGCCCAGTTTTCAGTTCAGAAAAGGACGTCAATAATAACACAAAATCCACATACTAATTAACAGTTTATCACCAAGTCTGAAAGCTTACCATCTTCTGCTTTTACTTAAATCTCCTATTTTGTCCTCACCTAACCCACCTGCTTTAAGAGACCGCAACGGCAGTGAGGAAAATCTTACACCACCATATGTGGCACTTTAAATCAAGGCAAAAAGGTGAACTGAGGATAGCAGCAGACTAAAACCTGCCAGCTTCAAAACCAACTTCCCTTTCCCAACTCCCTATGTTCAGTATCAGCCTGCTGCAGATCAGTCCCACCAGACAAAAGGCAACGCTACATAAAAGATGCCCATTTCACAGCCTTGCGCCTCAGCTCAGAAACAACACAGAAGTTCGTCTTTGTGAGCAAAGTTTGAGGCAGACCTTAGGACAGCTCGGCTGAAGCTGCTGCATGTTTTGTTGGTCCGAAGTCAGTCGTTCCGCGGACGTTTACCGCTGTTAACAGGGAGCGCACAGGGAATCACCGGATACAGCTCCACATTACAGACGAAGGGCTGCTTGTCCCAGCACGCACGGTGACACCACGGGGCACGCCAGCAAGTTTTTAAACTCACAGAGAAGCATTCCAGCAACAAATACCACGGCTAAGAACGCGTTTAACGCCGGTCGCAGGCCGCGCACAGGCCGACGTTCCCACTACGAAGCGCCGGGTTCGCGCTTATCGCCGCGGGGAGGACGAAGCCGCACCCCGCTGCCGGCGGGGACGGAGCCGCGGCGGATCCCGGGGCCGGGCTGGGCGCGGGGGCGGCCGAACGGCCAGGGGGACGGGAAGGGCCGGGGCCGCCCCGCCGAGCAGCCCGAGCGCCGGGGCGGGAGCCGCAGCCCCACACCGCTCCCAGCGTCCAACTCCCAGCAACTCCGGGGCAGGAAGAGAGAGAGGGAGGGCGGGCGGGAGGAGGGAGTAGAGGGGGCGGCCATTAAGCCCGCTCCAGCCAAGCCGTTCCCCGCGGCGGGAGGCGGCCGCCCGGCCCCGCGCCCGTACGCTCCTACCTGGCCGCCGCCGCCCGGGGGGGGCTCGGTGTCTCCATCTCCGCCGGGTGGCCCCGCTGCCCACCGAGTCGCCATTATTTCATTCCCGGTTACGAAGGAGGTGCAAATCCTCTGGAGCCCGCATCGAGGAGGGGAAAGGAGCGGGGAAGCAGCGCCGGAGCCGCTCGCACACACCCAGCGCGGCGGTCGCGACGACGACGCCGATCCCGGGGCGGCCCCGCCGGGGGTGCGGGCTCGGCCCCCGTCACGCAGCGGCCATGGGGCAGCGGCCGGGCCGGGCTTCAGCGGCGCTCCCCGGCGCCCGCCTTCATGGCTGGAGCGGGAGAGAGAGCGGAGGTGTCAGTCCCGGCGCGGAGCCGCCGCCACCCGTCCCTCGTTGGGCTAATCGCGCCCGCTCGTCATCTTCCTCTTCCTCCAACTCCTCCTATCCCGAGCCCCGGCCGCGGGGAGGAGAGGGAGGCGGGGGCGGGCGGCGCCCGTGCTGCTGCCGCCCGGCCGCACGCGGAGCGGGACGGGGAACGGAGCGGGGCGGGGACGGGCGGCGGGAGGCAGAGGAGCGGCGGGGCCGGGACCGCCGGCGGCTCCGGGCCGGCCCAACTTTGATCGACTCGCGAGGGGCGGGCGGGAGCCGGGGGCCGCCGCCTGTCCCGCGGCCCTGGGCTGTGCCAGCGGCGGGGCGGGCCGCCGGCGAGCCCGCTCCGCCGAGAAAGCGGCAACAAAAGAGCGCGGCCCCGCGCCGCCGAAGCCGAGCTTTTGTTCCCCGCTCCCAGGCAGCGCCGCCCTCCCTCCCCCCCCCGGGCGCCGCCGGCGATCAGACCACCGCGCCCCGCCCGCCGCCCCTCCCTCGGGCCTCCGCGCCGCTCCACCCGAGCGCGGCAGCCAGCGGCCGCCCGGCCCGGCCCTGCCCCCGCCCGGGGGCCATCAGGCGGCGCCAGCTGCGCCCGCCGCGCTGCCGGCCACCTGGGCACCGGCCTCGCTCCGCGGCGAGGGGGGAGGTGCCGCCGCCCCTCCCGGGGACCCCCGCGCGGGAAAGACCCCCGCCCCGCCCCGCCGAACCGCCGCCCCTCTCGCTCGGTGGCGGCGGGCTTCGGGCCCCTCTGCCCCGCGGTGCCGACGAGACGTACCCGGAGCTCTCGTCCCCCGCCCACGAGCCGGTGGTTTCTGTTCCCTCCGAAAATCCACCCGCCTCGCAGACGACACGGACGGCGCGGGAGCCGGCTCCCTCTCCCCCGCTCAGCCTTCCCAGCGGGAGGCTCCGCGCGGCGGTAATCGCCGCCTTTCCGCCCTCGCGGAGGACGCCGGGCTCTGCTGCCGGCCCCGCCGCGCACCTGGCTGCCCGCGCTCGGACGGGGTCAGGCCGGCGGGTGCCTGCGGGAGGCGGCTCGGGACGAGCCTGGCCAACTCCCTCTCGTTTCTCGTCGTCACACAACATTTAAGATTTATTTGCCATCCAGCCCCCGCGCAAACTTAAAATTCAATCCACGGATGTCAAAAGTCGAAAGGACCGGAGTTAAAACCTCTGGAGATTTTTTAGAGTGAAGAAGGGGAACGGTTGGGGTACTTTTCCTGTTTAGAAGCTGTTCCCGAACGAAACCGAGAGCTGTAGTGGTGTGCTTGGCTGCGTGCTGCTCCCTGCGCTGCAGTCATTGTGTCAATCTGCAGAACATCATTGGAAATCTATTATGTATATTAAATAAGTTCCATGTATTTGTAATCACCGCTTCTCCTCTGGGAACCGCAGTACCGCTCCAAATCTAAATTAGCATCATAACTGATATCCGTGCAGAAAGTTGTCAGATTTATAAAATGTCTCGGATTGAAACATGAATAGACTATCTGAGCAGTCATTTAGTATCTGGTGAGTCTCTATTTATATCACCAGAGCTACATCAATACAGTGACAAATCTCCCATTTTTTCTTTTCTTACACTGCCAATCAACTTCTCAAGCTTTAGTGTTCAAAACGTAACAGTGAGGCAAAAATATCGCAGGGGGAGATGTGATCCCAGAATCACACATTGTTTCATGGCGAGGCCAAGGGAACAGATCTTATTATTAACTCTTGGAGGCTTATATTAGCACAGTTATCAAAAGAATATTTGCTGTGCTAAATCCTCATTAAACTGTATGTACTTCATTTTCTTCCCTTTAATCCCAGATTTCTATTTTTGTGGCAGATCTTTTTGCTTAGAGGGCTGGGATATCTGTAGGACTTTCGTGCATAAGGCTGCTGTAATTTTTCATGCTAAATATGGTGTCATCGTTACAACAAAACTTACAGAAGGAGGCAAGCTCTCAGAGACGTGCGCATTCTCAGCTCCATAGTGTACAAACCATATCTCAGAGTCTCTCAGCCCCCTTTGAAAGCGATTTAATAAAAGAGGTTGCAAAAGCAGAATTAGGGTAACTGAGAGCTGTAATTTCACTTTCTCACCTTCCAGTCTGAAGGTGTTGACACATACTCTGTTAGCAGACAGCTGCAGCAGCTTAAAGTGTTAGCACCATCCTACTGTTTATTATCACTCCTTGCTAAAGAGTATCATCCCCACAGGAGAGCTGGTGTGGTCGTCTCTGGGAGCACCTGAGCCACTTGGGTAGAAAGTCTGCCAGTTCGCTTCAGGTGGGCAGAGCTGGGCCTACACTGCAGTCATTCTCTTGTGCCAGTTCTGCTGGGTGAGTGATGACACAAAAACGAGGCTGTAACACAACTTGCTGCCCAAGCAGTTTTGTTGTCCCAGCCATCCTGAAGGCCCGCTCTTTTCTCACCAGGTTGCAGCCTGCCATGACTGGCCATGACGTGCCAGACCTGAGATGCTCGAGCAGGGAACTGGCTCTTCTATAGCCCTGCTATAGAGAAAAACACAAGTGGAGAGAAACAGAAGCTAAAGTGAGAGCAGATTTCTTACAGGACTTCTTAGATTAGATTACTGTGGAGTACCTGGTAGGGTAGATTAGATAGGCAGTAGTGGGAGATAACAGTAAACACTGGGTATTCTGTGCTGGGAGGGGGAAGATTGGAAAGTGAGGAGTCCAATAGGAAAAAATCAGAGTTTAAATGGCCTGGGTTTGGAAAAATGAGTGGGAAAAGATTTTGTTCTAAGCAATTAGACACATTTGGTCTCTGAAACTGTCACCTGTGGGAGCTCTTGAGGTGATCCTTCCAGTAATGCTTCCTACTACAGACCCCATCTACCTAAATCTTATAGTCAGGGTCTACCCTGAGCAGTTCAGGCTGAATGTGGACACCCCTGTGACTTCCCTGTTTCAGACTGCTGCTAACTCCACAAAGTGTGTGTGAGCACTGCATCCTGGCTGTGGGCTTTTTCAGCGCATAGTCAGGGCACCAACTGGCATCAGTACAACAGCTTCCATATCCCAGAGATATTGTCTGGTGCCCTATGTGGGGATGATTCATTAGATTCTCCCCAGAACAGCAGGTCAAAATGATGCACGCATTTTTCATTAACTGATCTTTCTGGGATACTGCAGTGCCTTCCTAGACAAGTGAAAGCCTTCTATGAAGCCGTGGCTGGAGCTACGCAACAATCTGACCATTGTCTGCATTTGCTTTATGGATTTCTGCATTAAGATTCCTGTGTTTCAGCCGTGATACAAGGATGTTTTCCACCCAGCACTGGCACACTATTCTTCCTGGATACTATTGGTGATGGCTGTTTTCTTAGTAATTGTATCATAAAATTCCCCTCTCCCTCTGTGGACTTCCCTATGGCCTCCCCTCTGGCTGCAGAGTTCAATCCCATTGCTGCCATGCCTACGTCTTGGCTCCCATGTGTGCGCTGAACTCTGACCAAAGTGCCTCCCTGCTTTTACTTCAATCTTCTCTCCACAAGAGATCACACCTACCTCACTTGGCCCTGGATGCTGATGCTTTCAAAGTGCTCCAGAGCACTGCCAAGAAGAATTGCAGCCAAACCTGCCACTGGGCCCATAGTAAGAGAAGGTTTTGGCATCACGAAGCTTCAGTGATGCTGTCTCTACCAGCTGCACCCTGCTAGAAGTAGTCCCATTTTGAGCGCATGCTGTATTCTGCCTGACTTAGCTTCCTGGTAAAATCTCTGCCTAGATGAAGTTGTGAGGAGAACACATTTTCCAGCCGGAAAGCAACAGAGGTTGCTGAAGATACGTGGGGGGGTGTATATCTTGAGGATGGTAAGGTTCAATATACTGAAGGCATGGCAAAAAATCAATTGCATGGGCTCCAGTCTGGGACAAAAGGATGATTACTAGCAGTGCCCATGAGTAATGAGATGTGCAGAGCAGCTACAGGGCAAGCCTGAGGACAAGCACTGGGTTAAACAAAGGGGAAGTGCAGTGCCCTGAGAGTGCCTGGGCACTGAAGCAGATCAGAACCAGCATCACCAGGCTTGCTGAATGCAGGCAAGGAAGAGAGAAGTGCTTTGTAAGAGCAGAAGTGTCAGTGCTGATTCGTATGTCCTCAAAATATCCACTACCACTAAGCTAACCACTCTGGTGGGCGACACGGCCTGTTGCCTTCCCCTGTCATAGCTGTAAATGACTTGAAGCAATGAGCCAGCTTGGGTGTGATACTACATAAATGCATGGCAGGTTCAGGACCGTGAAGTGAAAATGACTACTAGGTGTGCTTAGTGAGGCTGTGTGTGGAATACTTCTGGCTGTGCTCTCAAGACCTGTGTCTCTGGCACTGTGACATGGGAAGGGGCAGCCACCTTCTGTGCAGAAGCTGCCAGGAGCTGATATCCCTGGCTTTGTTTTCTATCCTTTTCCAGGACAATTCTAACCCCTGCTTTGAGGATACCTCAGCTTCTTTCCTGTAACAGCACAAGGCTACAGAACTTTCCCCACAGAATGAATGATGGGCTGGGTGTCCTGACCTGAAATGATATAGAAATGGTCAAGTTGTCTCCTCCTATACTAGCTGTGCAATGACAGGGGAGAGGTGCTTTGCCAGACATCATCGTCTAGGGTCAGGCTTTTCTCTGGACCTTGTATTTCACTGCTACACAGGAGAGAGATTTTTTATCCAGGCTACACGTGACTGTTGCTCCCTGACCCTTCATGTTCTCCTCAAAGGAGAATCACAAAATCATAGAACCATTAAGGTTGGAAAAGACCACTAGGATCACCTGCTAACCACCAACTCATCCCCACCGTGCCCACTAAACCTATCCCTCAGTGCCACATCTCCATGTTTTGTGAACACCTCCAGGGACTGTGAGTCCACCACCTCCCTGGGCAGCCTGTCCCAATCAGTGTGTGTGTGTGTGCATATGGCTTCCACATCTTTTTCAAATAGGAGGTATGACGTGACTGCAGTGACAGAAGAATGTGCCTGTGCACAGGTCAGAGTTTGGAAGAGGGGGCAATGAACTGTTTGTTCTCAAAATGCTTTGTGGGCTTGAGAGTATCATTATGGCTTGTGTGGATGTCAAAAATCTAGTCCTTACACTGTTGGGTTTTTAGCCATTTGTCTTCTGGCAGTTGTCTACTTTGGGAACTAGCTAGCTGCCCTATGAGAAGCAGCATCTCAGCTCCCCACATCTTCAGTATCATCTTCTCAGAT